TTCTTAAACTGTGAGTTTATTTTCTTTCCACATTATGTCTTTAGGATATATTTTGTCCCTGCTAGAGTGAAAGTCAAATATCAAAGCACTGGAAAAATCTATCTGCAACAGAAAGAAAAGCCAAATGACCAAAACCTTTCCAAGGCTTGTTTGGTGGGATTAGAAAACAAAAACTGAAACAAAAACAAAAACAAAAAAAGTACTTTGCTTATTTAAGTCTTCCATTTTAAGACTAGTTGGAAAAGATTATTTTCTTCCCTAAAATCAAGGTAACAAACTCATGAAGACCCAAGCTCTAGAAATAAGTACCAGGGGGAAGTATTTGACAAATAGGTATTATTTTAAATTTAATTATTTGTGTACCTCAGTGTTTTTCTGGATGGACCTTACTAACTTCAGCTGGAGGATAAAATATCTTTTTTTTAGTAAATGAACTAAGTTTTTAAGGTTCAGTAGCACTTTAAATTTTTAAATAGCACCAAATTTAATAAAATGTGATGTGCTTTATTTTCAGTTTTTGTAAAGAAACATTGCTAAATAATCCTATTGAATGTTCCTTGTCTAAATAATCAATAACTCACTGCATGCAGGATGAAATAACCTGAAATAATTAAGGTAAATGAAAATGTCTATAGATGCACAAATACAGCAGTTAAACTTCAGACAAAATCAGATTTTAGCCATGCTTTTAAAAAATCTCTTATCTGTGGGCCTAATAAGCAGACTGCTTGCTTTATGTTTAGATTAGTCCAATTGAGTACAACTCGGATTAATTTTCACATTATTTTTGTTTTAATGTGAAAAATGCCAAAAGCAGATTTTGAGATTCACATTAAAATACAGGCAGACCCACTGGCATAGAGCTGGTCTGCTGGAGGATTTATTGGAGATGAGAGATTGTTACTGAGGTTGTCTATCACCTCTGGTTTATGAAAAATAAATAGATAGATGGATGCTGGGAGGCATTAACACTGCCCACGACTCTCTTTTTGCTTCCCCAAGGGTGCTTTTGTGTAAACTAAGATTTGATTTTAGAATGCCCCCAGACTAGAGGTTTTTGTTAATATCCTTCCTGGTCACTAACTTCTGTGCCCTGTGCAGTCTCAGCCCAAACATGTCCCCGAGACTCAGGCCCTGTGCTCAGAAAATGATGTGAGTTATTGGGATCAATTAACTTCTCTAGGTATTGAAAGCAAGCAAGCAAATGCCTGTTAGTAATGATTAACTTTGGAAATATTATCAATTCTGGGAAGACCCCTTACCTTTCTGGAAGAATGCTCTAGACCGGGAGTGTTCCCAGGAAGCTTGGTTTCCAGTTACATAAAGTTACTTCAGGGTCTCTGCTGTGCTTTGCATTGGGAATGAATATTATTTTTATGTTTGAAACTTTAGTTCTTTCCAGAAGGGCTTTTAGGAATCTATATGCTCTTTTCAGCTGCTACGAACACTCTTCCTCTTAATTTTCTCATTTGTAAAATAGGTACACAGATAATGGTGTTTGGAGAGTTTTGAGAACTAAACTGAGATATGGTATATTGGGTACTAATTTTAATGTCTAGCTCATACAAGGTCTGCTGTATATGTTTCTTCTCTGCTTCTCTTCCTTGAAAAGTTTTAGCTTAAACTCATTCTTATCATTTATTGAAAGCTTATTAAAAATGGGCAAAGATATGCATACTAATAGCTCTTCTCTCTTCTCACCTGTGCCCAATAACAACATCAAAACCAGCGGTCTCTGCTGTTGTCTACTTGTGTATTTGAATCCTAGCTATTTGAGTTGGATTGTGTTTATGTTCTAGAAGTGGGCAGTTGTCTGAAATATAGAGGGTAGGCAAACCTATTATTTTGGGCAGGAGTGGAGAAGAAAATACAAATGTTATTATATACTTGGTCAGATATTTTTGTTATAAAATTAAATTACTCTCTTGAAGGTTTATTTTCTCTCTTGTCATTAACTCTAAGGATAGAGTCTTCTGTGGTTACCAGCGTAGGAGCCTTGGGAAATGTTAACTGAACCATTGAGGGAAGAAATTCCAGCAGGATGAATTCTATGTTCTGTACAGATAGGGAGCATTATGGGCACTCAACAGATGTTAATAAATACCTCTTTCTATTGTTGAGGCAAAATGAGGTCGATGTGAGTGTGAACTGTGGTTAGTAAAAGGACCTTGTACCTAAAAAAGGGTGTGTTTTTAGAAGAGGAATCTGGACATTGAGTGAAAGATCACTTTTTGTTCTCATATCGAATTATTCTCCGTGTGTAAGGGCTGTCTTCCCCCCTAAAATTGTGAGCTCCCATGTGTTCATGTCATATGCCTTCTTGGCTGTCCTTGGAATACGTTGCTGTGGACACAGTAAGGCTTCAATAGATCTTTGTTGATTGAAACTAAATGTTTGGAAATCTTGGAGGCAGGGTCGAAGGGATGAAAGGAGGGCTGCAGGGAAGGAGGAAGAGAATAGTCAAGGCAGAAACACAGTGGAATACAGACTGCCTGGAAGCCCAAAGAGACCAAGGCTGGTGGTGAGCAACTAAGAATTTATGTTCTCCTGAGGAAAGGGGGGAAAAAACCGAACAGAAGAGAAATTTTAATCTGAAAAGCTAATTAAGCAAATTATAAGACCTTTACCATAGCCCGGTCCTTGGAGTTGTAATTTTTCGACTTTAAAAAATAGTGGAGGATTCTCTAGTTTGTCCCAAGAATCTATTTGTATTTTGGTTTGTACAGTAAAAGAAAATTGAGGGAAAAATACAGTATGCTTCCATGTTTTCACTCCCACGAACCCTCTTTGTGATGGTGAGGGGGAAAAATATAAAAACACCTCTAGTTTCATTGGGTGTGCTGATTTATTGAATAAAAAAGAGGAGTTAGGTGGCAAAAATATAAATAAGAAAATCCCAACAAGAAACTGTGAGCAGGTTTAAAATATCAAAAACAACCATACAAAATGCCCCAGTGCAGAGAACTCCTCTAAAAAGTGTGAACAGGATTAAAAAAAACAAACAAGTGTGTCACGGATACCTAGCCTTTGATGAACACAATGAAAAATATCAGAGACTATCACAACTCAGGGACCTCTTGATAATAATGAATAAACATCAACTCTTCTAGGTCAAGGGACCAATATTACTTCACAGCTGACTGTGTTGAAGGTAGAGCAAGTGACCTTTTCCCTGAATTTTAATAATTTACTGTAGTTTTACATTAAATCAGAATATAATTTTGAATAAAATGAGTGTTTCCTTGTGGGGAGTGCAGAGCAATGCCACTAATTGCAGGCATGAAAGCATTCCCGAGGCTGCATTTTCCTGTTCTTTCTTGAGTTAGAAAATTAACACTACAGTAATTTTCCACTTTTTGTAAGAAGGAAAATGTGCCAGTGAAATGTATTCGGCTGACTTCAAGTGTCAAAGCTCTAGGCCATCTTTTTCTGTCCAGTAATGACAAACTGTCAATATCATCACATTATTCAGGAATTTACTAGCAACTTGTGGCAGGTATCGGAGCACACAGGTCTCTTATAGTATTTGTGGTCTGGAAGAAGAAGCAGACTGTCATTTGGGGGGATCCTTTTGGTTTCCTTTTCTTTCACTTTAATATTTAAGCAACTTTTCATTTCAAATATGTGTTAGAGCAAATCACCATTTTTTCTAATGCACAAGGAGATGAACAATAGAGGACACGTTAAATTAACCTTAAAAGAATAGGAATTTGAGTCGATAGTGCTTTAACAATTTTTAAATACCTGGGGGATTTTTTTCAGATAAGTTATTATCAAGTAAAATAATTGAGCTTTTTTTGAAAAGGATACTGGGTTTAAGATGTTATAAAAACGTATATGTTCACAAATAGATGTACCTTTCCCCGGAACTTGGAAGGGTTAAATCACACCGCTGTAGTGCTAAGAAAAGCGTTTTTCAGTGGTGTCTGGTACCTTGAGTTTGTTATGTATTCAATATGTAGTATCATCATGAAACAGTTGCACCTGCATTAGCCCTCACTGTCTCAGGGTAGACACTAAAAAAAAAAGTTAAAGAAATGAATATTTCTGCTAGTAGCATGTTGGTATTTTTCCCTCATTCCACGGACATTCTTGATCTTGAATGCAAACTGCACCACCCAGAGCACTGGGATTGGAACCCAGTGTTTGTTCAAAAAGGCACCCTTGAGCAGTTCAAGAGGAAATGCTACATGTATGAAAGAGAAAGCAGCCCAGAAACTCGACTGATGGGGCAGAACAGCAGGGGCTGCATTACTAACACTTATTTTCTGGGAGACCAGGACAGAAGTAGAAATACTTAGAAGGGACCCGAAAGGGTGGTATTTTGTTGCTTGTTCTCCTTACATGGAGCAAAGCAAACTGCAGTGACACTTTAGGAGCTGGTATTCCCTACTACCACCGGGAGAGCCAGTTTCTGGGTGGAGGAATTTGTATCTTAACAAATACAGGCTGTTTTGTTGATTAAACAAACCAAAAAAAAAAAAAAAAAGCATGCCCCATTCTTTGCTTTCAGACACTTCTCCAGTTAGAAAATGTCTCATAAAAAATGCATCATGTGATAAGCTCTCGCTTTAGTTCCAAACGGAGCTTGAGTCAGTGCACTTGGAGGTCTCAGAATTCTAGTCCTCAGGGAGTCCACATTTTAGCTAAGAATATAGTTACTCTGTCTTGAAATAGGGAGCTTTGCCACTTGCTTGTTTTAGAAGGAAAATAAATTAAAAAAAGATTGCAGGGGATTTTAGTTATTATATGGCCAGGGCTCCGTTTAGAGTCTGTGGCATTCAAAGCTGGCTTTAATCGCAGCATGATGCTCAAAGCCTCCTAAAGTCCAAGTGTTTCCTTTCTTTCTTTCTTTCTTTATTCTTTCCGTTTTTTTTTTTAAGCGTTGCTTCACTGAGGCAGAGGGCTGCCTTTGAGTGACGTCACGAGTTTGAGCAGCAAGCTGCACAGGAGAAGCGAGGCTGGGTGAGTGACAGCCCAGCCTACTTTTTAATAGCTTTGTCATGTGACTGGGGACTGTAGTAAGACAGGTGCCTTCAGTTCACTCTCAGTAAGGGGCTGGTTGCCTGCATGAGTGTGTGCTCAGTGTCACTGTGGATTGGAGTTGAAAAAGCTTGACTGGCGTCATTCAGGAGCTGGATGGCGTGGGACATGTGCAACCAGGACTCTGTATGGAGTGACATCGAGGTGAGCTGGGGCTGGGCTCGGCACTGCAGCCAGGACTGGAGCTTTCCTCACGATGCAATTATTCCTGTCAGGGGGGAAGGGCTTGGGCAAGGAGAGGAGGCAGAAAAGTAGCCCAGGCGGGAGCTTTTGGAAAGGAATCTTAATCTTATCTTAACTCCAATAAGTTTGCTATTTTAAGGTGGCTCTGAGATGCCACGAGCAAATCAAAGCTTAGCTGCTGTCATCCGTATCTGTTGCAGTTGGAAACTCTTTCCATGTGCCTTTGGCTCTGTTTCTACTCATATACAATATTTATGCTCTAAGATATTGATATGAATCAGAAGCTGAAGTCTTTCCAGTGGTATTTAGTGGCCTGGTTGGAAAAATGCCATTTCTATTTATAAGAAGATGAAGATAAAAATATTAAAATGGATATTCTCAAATAGAGTCAGTTATGACTCCAGCGTGGATTTTTTTTCCCCCTGCGTCTCTGGGTTCATCAGATGGAGAACTCAAAAATCCTAAATAATCCTGCTGGGCTCTTTTAGATCGCTTTTCTCACAAAACAATGAAGCTGAGTCCTTTAAAACTCCTCCATGTGGTTGAAAGATTTGGCTGGCAAATAGGAAAAAAAAAAAGTAAGGTGCCAGGTTTTCCAGTCGCGTCTGCGGCAGGGAAGCCAATGGTTAAATCTCGCTGTACCACGGAGAGCTGCCTGAAGCCGGAGAGAGAATAGAGTTTATGCAGGACTGTGTGTGGAGCTGCTCGCTGCTTGTGTAAAAATAGACGGCAATACATCAATTCCACAGTCTCTGCTGGCTACAATTCATACCAGGGCAAAGAAAGCAAGCCGTTTCCGCGTAATCTCTGGAGTCTAGAGTGACAAGTGGGGGTGGGGGACGACGAGGGCCTGGCATGTTTGCATTCCACACAATGCAGTGTTCTCGGAAAGTTTGGGCAAGTTGGGAAACAAGTGAAACTTTCTCTGGACTCTGGTGAGATGGGACCGAATTGAAGTGCATGGAGGATCTGAGCTGCTAACAATGAACCAGGCAAAGGACTCTGAGTGCTTCCTCTGGGTGGCTGGGGGCACGTAGGGTAAGGGGGAGGGTCGAGTGTCACACGTGATTTGATTAAATAAGATGTCCATGTGGTGCAGTGATACACATCTAAAGTGAAAATGGTTTGGCCCAGGCCATCTGAGGGTGCATTTTTCCTATCTAGCCAAGCATGCCCTGGATTCTTAACTCTTTGCTGGGTTTGCAAATGGGGCTTGGTGTGCCCTCCTTGCCTGGGCAGACCGTACCGGTGGATTGCAACAGTTCTCACGTTGTGATTTCTCGGGAAGGTGGGATAGAAATGGATAATTCATGTGTCCTGTAGCTATTTTGAGTCTGGGTTATAAGTGGCTTCAAAGTCCCAATTTTCTTCGAGTAGCTGGCATGTCCTACGGGTGATTGTCTGGCTGGCACTGTGGGTCTCAGCAGCTGTAGTTCCATTTTCCCAAGTATTATTCCTGATGCTGCTATGAGTTGATTGAGAAACTAGATCATATGGAAATCCAGCAGATTCACTTTGATCATGGGAATTCCTGGAGTCATGTTAAATAAGCATCAGAACCATTTAGGATAGGGGCCCTTTTATTTTTGTCCTAAGGAGGTGAGGTCTCGGGCTAATTGTCCATCTGGGGATTGAGTTGTCGGTTGGCTGAGACTGGTCCGCCACTCCTCTGTGGCGCGGGAGACAGCAAGCTGCTGGAAGCCTTGCCTTGGTGGCGGCGGCAGCTCTGGGAATCACCTCCGCCAGTCTAAAATATTACGAGCAGCAGGTAGCGTCGGCGGCTTTCGTTTTTTGAATCATTAATGTTTGCTGTCATCCTAAAATGTATTACGCCCTTTTGCACATAATGACAGGACAGCGCGTGGGTTAATAAAGGCCTGTATCACTCCAGCTACCGAGTCCCTGGTGTTTCACAGTTTAATGAAGGCGATGTACAATAAGGTTACTAAGATTGATAGAGACGAGACAGGACCTACACTGCACTAAGACTGTCGTTCTTAACTGCCCCCCGCCCTAGCCCCTTCCCTGTCTTGTCTAATTTTTTTAAAGAAGTATGATTCTTTTTTTCATTAATATAATTAATGTGGCCAAGTCCACTCTTTCTTCTCTCTCTCTTTAAAATTTACCATCAGTGGCACAAAAACCTCCAAAAGGTTAATGGAGAATTATACTTAATTATAATGATTCATTATCATCAGTGCAGTTAAGCTAATTTATTGTCTGCTCCTTCGCTAAGAGAAAAGTCTGTTGGGGTGAAATAGCATGCAATAATTAGCCTTTTGTGTTTAGTAACCGCTTTATCCTCTTAAATCTTATTATAAAATTCAGGCGATGGCAGTGGGATAGCTGGCAGAGTTGCACAGGGCCAGGCGACTGTGGGTCTGTCACTGTAAGAAAGCACACCTGTTACAGGTGTGTGGGGAAGCGGTGAGGATCAGCAAGGCAGACGAGGACAGCTACAGGGCTCGGACTGGTAAGTCTGGCATCATCCAGAGGCCAAGTAGAAATGACTAACAGGAACCCTTGCTGCCACTAATGTGTTTTCGATGATCAGGAGAATGCCACATGCAGAATCCCTGATTTTATTAGCATGTCAACACGGGCAAGAGCGTATGCTCATTTTTCAGCCTTAACTTAAGAGTGAAGATGAGAAAGAGAGAGAGAGGAAAGGGAAGGGAAGGCGTAAGTGAATAACAGCACCGTAAACTACAAAAAAAAACCCCAGTCAATCAGATCCTTTTGGTGGTTTTCAAAAGTTACTCAATACGTTCTTCTGAAAGGTTAAAGGTTTTGAACCAGCCATGCCTAGAGAGGGTAGTCAGAAGGACAGAGGGGCCGCAAGAAGTCGCCCAGCAGTTAGTTCCTGGGACGCTCAGCGTTTCAGAGCCGGCTTCTCAGTTATGCTCTGCACAGTAGAAACCTAAGCCAGATACCGAGATCTGACGCTTCCTCCCTTTGATATTTTTATTGCTGTTTTTGTTGTTTCTGTGTTTATTTTTTTTAAGGACTATCCCTCAATGAAATCCAAGTGGTTTTTGTGCCACTGAAAAAGTTATCCCCTTGTCTCCTACCTGGTCACGTTGCGGAAGAGTTAAAAGGGTGTGTTTGTGCTTAGTGGTAAGCAGTGTGGGTGAGTCTGAAGACTGGGAAGTGTTATACCCAAAACAAACCACGGACATTGCACCGGTGTGAGACCTCTTCAGCCCAGCCTCTGCTTGCTTGTGAATCTAGTCAAGGATACTGATCTGGAACTTCGGCCTAACTCAGATAATAAGAAAGGAAAGGCCAATAACATGATAAGGAAAGTTTTGATGGGGAGGTTGGCCCTCTCTTTGCATGGCCTCTGTGCCTGCGTTTTGGGATCTCACTGGGGCCTGGTGGTCTTTGGGAACAATGCAGTGATGTCCAGGCCCCTGCAAACTCCCATTCCCCACTGCTCACTCCATTACCCAGTAGCCGTGTCTCAGCGTGGGACCCTCGGATCATGCTGCTGTGTATGACCTGTGTGATGTCGCCTGCCAGGGGTGACAGGGGGCTTGAGAACAATATCTGCATAAAACTTGTTTTCTTGAAAATCTAAATGTCAAGCAGGATCTTCAGCTTTATGTCCAGCTGCTGCCCGGGTGTGAACGACTCCACAGCATCTCTCCTGACCCCTGAAGGCAGGGCCGTGAGGGTTCCACGTCAGAGTGGGCGCCTGCTGATGGAGACAGTTTGGCGTGTGGGTGGATAAGGTCCCATGTCTCTGGCGTCACGAGATCCCTGCCGTAGAAAGTTTCTGTGGGGTTCTTCACAGGATGCAGTGAGGAATCAGCAGCCAGGTAGCCAGTTTGAGATTAGAAGACCACTTTTTTGGTAAGGGTGTCCACCTTCCTCCAAAAGCCACAGTGTGGGACGGTTAAAAGACCACCTATTCCAGGCAAGGAGGTGAAAGACAATGCCAGTCTGGGATAGCCTTGGTGACGAGCAGCCCAGCCATAGCAAAGCATATTATAAAACCTATCCATACATCAAAATCATTTTTAAAATGCCAAAGAAAAGTCCCTTTCAATTCACTTCTAGTTTAGGAATAAATGGTAAAAATGTGCTACCTCGACTTTCTTTCCACATGTCAGATGATCCCAGCCACACACACACACACACACACACACACACACAGACACGATTTGCATGTTAAACATAGTGAAAAATAGAAAAATTATTTTTAAAAAGACGATTTTTGTCTTTCATCGCAAGGCATTTGATTTTGACCTATTTGAGATGCAGTTCAGAAGTTCATGAAAAGTCAAGTGAGACTAAAAGATTTAAATCACAATTCAAGAGAACCATGAACGAGTTAGATGACTTTGCACCATTAGTTGCTAAATGAATTATATGGATTATGATGGCTAAAAGAAGCGTACATGGAGAAAGTTTTCCTGGGAGAGTTCTCATGTTCTATTTTTCATTTAGCCGTTGTTTATTTTGTGTCTGTTTTGTGTGATGTCAAGGCCAAAGTAAAATCAAATTTGTATCCCTCCCTCAATGGGATTATACTCTAAGGGTAGGGTGAAATTTCACATATAGTTAACCAGAAAACAATTTGAAACTTAGTAAGTACTGACTATCAAAGAGGCACAGGCGTACCTTGGCTGGTGTGGCTCAGTGGACTGAGTGCCAGCCTGCAAACCAAAGTGTTGCCAGTTCGATTCTCAATCAGGGCACATACCTGGGTTGCAGGCCAGGTCCCCAGTGGGGGGCACACACACATTTATATTTCTCTCCCTCTCTTTCTCCTTCCCTTCCCCTCTCTCTGGAAATAAATAAATAAAATCTTTAAGAAAAGAGTCACAGACAAATCTAACAGGAAGAATCAAAGACAGCTTCATGGAAGCATGAATTCAGAGGTAGAATTTTGGATTGAATGGATCAGGCAAAGTATCTTTCAGGAGCAAAGTGCGTTAAAGAATTTAGGATGTTTTTTCTAGTGACTGAAACCCTGGAAACCAGCTTTGGTGGTGTCGTTGAATTAACCAGGCTTAATTCGTATCACATGCTGTTGCAGTTTAATAAATTCCTGAAGTTAATGAAAGCTTTTTTTTCCTCCTGCCTCCTGCAGTGTGCTGCTCTGGTTGGTGAAGACCAGCCTCTTTGCCCAGATCTTCCTGAACTTGACCTTTCTGAACTAGACGTGAACGACTTGGATACAGACAGCTTTCTGGGTGGACTCAAGTGGTGCAGTGACCAATCAGAAATAATATCCAATCAGTACAACAATGAGCCTTCAAACATATTTGAGGTAAGGACACCCCTTGGTGTAAATTAATTTCTCATTGAACTTGGCTGGGTCCAGACCAACATGATTATTGGCCTGAAAGCATAATGGCTTCTTACTTTGCTTTCCTCAGAAGACTTTGTGTAACAATAAGGCACTTGGCACTTCCTCTTTTGTGAAAAACAAGGTTTGGAAAACCGTGATTTTTTTTTTTTTTTTTTTTTTTAAGAAAGAAGGGGCTAAGGACTCACAACACAGTGCATTAAACTATGTTGAAATACTAAGGGATTGTGAAAGAATTAGTGACAAAGAAGAGCAAATGTCTAAACCTGTTTATCCCTAATTCCCACAGAAAATGGTGCCTAATATAAATTAACATACAAGAAGGCATGTTTTATTAACCAAGTGGTTAGATGTCTACCTTGATTTATTTTGCAAAGTGGGTGAGCAACTTATTATCATATTTTTAATCTATACCTCTGATTTCTATATATCTTGGAACTTCAAACCCAACACTTCTAATAATTACTTACAAATTAGTCAAAATTTATCCACCTTTCAGTTGTGGAAATTAACTCCCAAGTTCCATACTCTTATGCCTTATTATAAGCTTACCCTTTGGCATTACTTTGAGGAAAGAAAGTTCTTTCTCACATAATCAGTGCTCAGTTACTCAAAAATAAGTGGTTTCGTGTAGGGACAAACATTGAGGACTCTGGCAAGTGAAGTGAATGAAAGTTGCCAAACCAACCACTTTTCAGTATCCCGACCACCAGCTCCATCATCATCATCTACCAGTTGCTGGGCTCCATACAAAGCACTTTAAATGTATTTTTTTTGTCCGCCAATAGAGATATTTCTTATACTTCAGTGTTATTTGGTTCAAATCTTGAGTCACTAAGGCCAATTTTACAATATTTCTTGAGTTTTTCCAGCATCCAGCACATAAAAGACACTGAATAAATGCTTACTGAGTCATTAGGAAGGCCAGTTGTACAATGTTTACTGCGTGTTCCCAGCCACCAGCACGTACAAGTGCTGGCTGAATAATGAGCGGAATGGCCCTAGAGTCGTGTGAACAGCAGTAATAGTGCTCGCAGCGTGGCCAGCATTTTGGAGTACGTGTGCCCCGTGTGTGTCACCTCTCTCACCCCTCAAAACAGCCTATTGTTTGGCTGCTGGTGTCACCGTTCCCATTTCACACATGCAGACACTGAGTCCCCAACAGGTGCAGTGGCTTTCCCCCAATCACACAGTTGACAAATATAGGCCCAGGGGGTGAACCCCAAATTTATTTGACTTCACTGCCGATATCATTGATTAAAAATAGAGTAACAGTGAGCTTGGGTGACAGCCATCCTTGACAAAGACATATCAAGCTGCTTCTTTGCTCAATATATTTAAAAATAGAACAGAATCTGTCCTTCCAGTGTTGGTTGACATGAGCAGGGATAGCTGGTCAGCGGGGGTGGCCGTGGGTTCTGCCGATGGCTGTGACTTTAGAAAATGTGCAGAGCATGACCCAGGCATTAGAAGAGGCCTCCAGGTGGTGGGGGTGGGGCTGGGGAGAAGGAAGATGTGGAGGAAATGCTGAAGGTTTGTGGTTATTGACACTTTCCCAGGCTTCTCAGCCGGGTCTCAGAAAGTTCATGTGAGGACTTGGCTGGTTAGAACTGGTGAATTGAACATTCCTCATTCAGTACACTTGTCAGGTTACAGATCCATTTTAAGTCATGCTGCATTAAATAAACAGTACTTTTGAAAATGTCCATCTCTATAGACCTCTTATCTAAAAATCAGCAGCTCCATATTGGGCAAATGCCATGCATTTCGGATGACGGTTAGGGGAGTAAACAAAAGGCAGTGCGGTGGGGGCAGGGGGGGTCAGACATGGTGAGGTAGTCAGTCCTGCCTGGTGGGCTGCCTTAGGGGAAGACCACTTTCTCCTTGACCTTGTGTCTCCACGCGTCATGTTGCAGCACCTGCACCAGGTGCTCCTCATTGACAGCTTTGGGTGACTTGGTTCAGTGACTGGTGAGCTTGCTATAGATGCTTAATCTACACAAAGATGCCCCTGTGTGTTTTCCTGCATAGCTTCCTGCCACCGACAGAATTGTTTTTGATGCTGTAAGACAGAAGGTTCATTTACTTTAATCTATCTTTAGGTCATTTTAAACCAGGGGTTCTCACCTAAGGACAGTTTTGCTCCTGAGGGGACATTTGTCCATGTGTAAAGACATGTTTCATCATTGGGATGGGGGCCAGAGAGTGCTACTGGCATAGATGGGGGAGAGACCAGGGATGTTGCTAAATATCCTACAATGCACAGGACAGCTGCCACAGCGCAGAAATATTTGGCCACACTTGACAACGAAGCTACATTCGAGAAGCCCTACATTTAAAAAAAAAAGCTGCTGAAATCCCCTTCAGAAAACACTGAAGGTGAATTGGTCAGATTTCTGAGAGAAAATGTAGTTGAAGATATAGGGTAAGAAGAATTAGGAGCCATAAAAAAATAAGTAAGACACCCAGGACCTTGAGATTGATACGTCAGGAATTCTGTTAGTGACAGACAGCAGAAGTGACTGTTTAGGTAGGTCCCCCTAACAGTTGGCTCTGAAGTCACAGAAGCCATTCTTCTGTGTCCATGCAAAGGGTAAGGCCTGCGTGGCGACACCGTGACAAACAGCTGTGGCTTCCCCAGCTTTTGCATGCAGCCAGGATGCCTCTACTCTTTGCCCTCTAGTGCTAAACCCAGGCATCTTTTTCTCTAACGGGGGGAAAAAGCATATGTTGGGCTTAGGTGGAATTCTAAAATTGTGTCTTCCCCTGTGAGGAAGGTCCGTAGGCAGCAGAATAACCCTTGAACAGCCGCCGCTTTGTGCTGCTGCTTCCAAAGCTGCGTGTTCTGTGGAGCCGTTTCCCAGGGCCTGCGCCTTTAAACCTCCCACAGCGGACTTCAACCTGTGCTTACTTCCTTCCAGTTCCCAAAACCCTGCCTCATCACATTTGTGGAAGGCCTCATACTTGAGCAAGCCAAAACCAGTCACGGTCTCTGCCACCTCTGATCTGCCAAGCATTATCTACCTCGGAGTCTCAGAGTAAAATAAGGCACAAGAAGTAAACCCCTTTTCCTGACTTACTGAAGATACCCCTGGAAAAAGGGACAGAGGATTTCTGAGCTCAACATCAAAGCAGAAAAAAAGGGCTATTCACAGCTACAGAGAGTACAGCAGGGAGTGAATAGGAATTTCTTCTTTTGGCCTCTTCCAAATTTGTGGAATCTAGGTTTAATTTGGGTGTGATTTTTAGAAGAAAGGGAAAAGGCTGGAACTGAATGTCACCATTTGGGAAAGAGTAAATTCCTGAGGGGGAGCAAGGTGTGCCAACAGGCAGATGTACACGCTAGTCGAGTAGGTGGACACACAAACAGCAATCTCTGCTTGCACAACCTGTGTTTGGGTGTGTAAATGCAGGTCAGCAGGTATGTGCTTCAGAAGCCGCTTAGAAAAACAGGACACAGGGCCTACCAATGCACCCTCCAGTGAATCTGATCCATGTGCCAGGAAAACAGGATACTGTCCCTGGACTGGCTGCATCTGAAAAGATTTATGTTTCAGAATATTGCAACATAACTTCCTTCCCTGTGTTGCCTTTGTGCTTTGTTTGAGGGTGGAGAATAAGGGACTGTTTTTCAGCATGGCACTGTGTGGAGGTAGGTGGCATGGGGTTAAATAGCACGTTGCCCCTTCTGGGTCACTATGGGCCACCTTGTCCCTGCTTTATTCTAACATCTGCTTTAGTGGGCATCTTTCATTCATTCATCTGTTACTTAAGAATGCAGCTACTTGGGGTTCTTTAGAACACGGCAAATGAGAATGTAGTTATCTCTAGCTCATTACTCATAGAATATTCTCAAGCCTGCCTTTGCCAATGGGAGGAGAAAGGCTCACAGCTGTAGACAGTGCTCACGTTAGATAATTACTCGAACTCTCTGTAAGGTCAGATACAGTGAACTTTTATAGGATAAAAAGTGGGGGGCAGTGACCTGTGAATTGTCCATGAGGTCCCCTCTGTCTGCCACCAAGGGAGTGAAGGGGAAAGGCTTTCAAGAATGCCTGGTCACTTGGTGGAAATAGAGATCTTACATGTCTAATTTAGACTTTCAGTTCTACTCTATTTCTTTTCCTGAAATGGGCACATATTCTATACTTATCAAAACGTTAGAAGGCAATCTTGGCTAGTCCATGGACTGTGAGCATTTTGCAAGCTTGGAACCTCATTCAGTGACATTTTCCTAGGCATTTTCTTAGAAAACAGCGGAAAGCAAAGCGCTCAGTAAATATTTGCAGTGTAATGAATGAGTTGACAGTCACGTGTTTACTACTGGTATGGATTGCGGGAGATAATGTGAGCATTACCTATAAAGCACAAAAGGTCTGTTTCCTAAAGAAAAAAGTTTGGGAGGCCCAGTGAAGACATGCAAAAACAATTAGCAAACAATGTGAGACTGTGCATCTATATGCATACATACGTGTGCATGTATGTATTCAGATCTTTTAACCAATTGTAAAACAATGTTCATGTCTGTACACACAGGGTTATTTACATATTCTATATGAATTAATCACTGGCAAACATTGCAAGACTGTGTGTGTGCATGGATGTCTGTGTGTTTGAGTGTGTGTGTGTCCTAGCTGAGGGGGAACTGGCAAGAATAATATCACTAAGGTTGATAAGATAATGAGCGTGAAGTGTTTTCATAGAAGGTATAAGGAGACAAGGAGCTTGGTTTACTCAAATGAAAATAAACATTAATGGGAACACAGGAGTGGTAATACATTTGGATTGAGGGTGGGTACGAAGTATAAGCTGGCTAGGAGAACCCAGCTGACATGGCAGGAGGGAATTAGGGTGTCTTTAGAGATGCTTTTGAACGCAGCGGAACCATATAATGGAGATAGTAATGCAGAGTGATCATTCTGGTAGCTGCGTGAACTGTGGACAAGCAGAAAGGAGGGGAG